CCCAGGTCCGGGTACCCCCGCCCCCAGAGGGGCAAACCGTACTCAGACCCAGGAGATGTAACCCTTCTCTCTGGGGTGGAGGAAAGCAGACCGCCTCCTTATCTGCAGTAGCAGGAAGGCCCCGAAACCCAGACCCCAATCTGACGGCCAGCACCTCCTCCCACCCCCAGGGGTGAGTGGAGACCCCAAACCTCCCTCCGCCCCCTCATATGTAGTGTTGCTGGGTGTTGTTCTAAAGTGCATTTAAAACACAGGAGGGCATGGTGCTTCCTGCCAGAGAGCAGCACGGCTCCTCCCGAAAACCCTCAGTGCATTTAAAATTGAGGGTAGGGCACCAGCACCAGAGGTGGGTTTGAATACACAGACCATCCTGTGGATGCTGTGTAACGTGTCCACCCCCAACATGTATATGTTATGAGAGTATGAGTAATGCAGATGTCTAGGTTGCGGATGGTGTAACACAGTGTGAACATGCAGTTAACTGTGAAATATGTGACCTCAGGGGGTTAGGTGAAGCTACTGACTTTGAGCAGCATTTATTACTTCTTCAACAACACTTTACAGGTATTCAGTCATTTGTGTATGTGACATACATACACAAAAGAAGCAAAAAAGAATCCTAATATTGACAGCCCTAAACCCCTGCTTTAGTTTTTACGGGGGATTAATTGAGTACCGTCAGTCTCAAAGTCTGCAACATTTGTCTCTGCCAAGAGATTTCATGGCTCAAGCCTCTTGACTTAATCATGTCGCACTCAGGATGAACTGTTAGCAGCCTCTCAGCTTTTCATCAAGTGGCATCATTAACTCAAAAATTTTAATAGTAAAAAGTCAGACTCAGTATTAGAATATTTTTTATCTACCTGCAAATTAGGAGAGTGTAAGGGCAAGACCATTACATTGACGGTACCCCAAATCAATACTGACTGCAAAATTGACATATGTGAGGAAATTTTTCCCTTTTTGCTCTTTTTGCTCAGTTAAAGACAGTAGAGACACAGTGTCTTTGTTATATGCTATCTGTTATTCTGGGGTAAATATGCATTTAATTCTAAAATAAAGTGAAAATTAATTTATTTGTAGCTCTGGCTCTATATACCACTACAATAGATTTTAAAATCAAATCAGTTATATGACAATGAAGCCATGAGCTTTGAGCTTTATTTCAAGGGGTTTAACAAAAACTCTGCATTAACTGTTTAAGAATTTTTATACACATTTTCAGAGGCTAAAAAACTAACTGGACAGGTGACTAACAAACAGTTTCGTGGCCAGGTGAGGCTTTTTTCATTTTATTTTATCGCAAATGTAGGAAACATAATGTCTGACATTGATCCAACGTTTTGAATTAGTGTTTTATAGACTATTTATCCAGTCTGCTATACTGTAATTTTAAATATGAGGCCCAAACAGATGCCAGTGCAAGTGAAGGTGCCATCATGAGATTGAAAGACCAAAATAAGCCTCAGAGAGAGAACAAAAAACTGTAGGACTAGCCAGATCAGAAATCTGGTATATTGCTAAAAAGAAGGAGTGCTTTGGCCAACTCAGTGCTGAAGTACACAATGACCATTATTTTCATGTTTAAGAAAAATTATTTTACAACTAGTCAATTAGTCAATACTGCAAGAGTTTCTCAGGGTAAATAAATGGGATCAGTCACCTGATCTCAATCCAACAGAGTATGCTTTTCAGTTATGAAATATAAAAAAGTAGCAACTGCAGAAAAGGCCTGGCAAAGAATCTCCAGAAGGGAAACACAGCATTTCATGATGTCCATGGGCTCTAGACCTCAGGTGGTCACGGACTAAAAAGGATTTTCATCCAAGTATTAAAAACAATATATACAATCCTTACAGACAGTCATCTCGTTCTCATCTCTAACAAAAACTAATATGTCAGGATGTACAATCCTAACATATTAGTTTCCTGCTTATATCTTTTGCATTTTAAAGAGAAAAAAGTCATACTGCTTGTATATACAATCCTTACAATTATTTTTGAATGTAAAAAAAGTCTTTAATTCTTAAACAGGTAATACTAAGTTATGTGAAAACTAAAGCGGAAACTCTACATTTTGATCATATATTGACTGTCTGATTGACTGTCAACTATGGTGGTGTACAGAGGCAAAACTACAAGAAATTTTGTCTTTGTCCAGATTATGAACCAAACCATATATACAGTTTATGTATGCTCACACTGCTCATAAATGTAACCTACCCTCATTAAAAGGTTCCCACTCGTACAGTCTGCCCATGAAAGGCTGGTTGTTGTAAGATGAACACTGGACAGCCCGGATGTGCCTGCTGGATGGGGGACAGGCCTGTGGAAGGACCAGTGAAATACAAACATGCATTTATTTTCCATGAAAACACCAAGTCCGACAGGTAAATCCCTTTGTAACTACAACCGCGTCTCACTGTCACGCTCTGTAGCCACTGATTTACTGATTGCTACGGTGAGCCTTCACTGTTTTAACTGTTTCCACTCCTCCACTTGTAGCGCTGTCTTTTTAACAAAAGAACTTAGATTCCAAGCATATATGAAGGCTCCAGAGTGAAACCCAACCTGCCTTAAGTCTCCATACATTATATCATTTGTCTAAACAAGACTGGTCTGCTTTACTTTACTTGAATATCTGTCATTACACAACATAGAGATAATGTGCAGAACCAGAGGCTGTTTCAATTCATTTTAATGCACAGAATCAGTTCAATAACCTAGAAGCTTATCCACATACTCATGCATTTAAGCTGGTCTTAAACTCGTGAAGGTGCTGTATGAGTTATTAAGATTATGGGTTATTCCCTAGTAATTTAAATAAGGTTTAATGTTTGATTCAAACACACAGACAAGTGCAGCTCTCTGGTGAGCTCTGCTATAAAACATCCACTCATAAGTTCAGTATCTCAATCAAAAACTTTACAAAAATAGATTCTGAGATGGTTTTGAAGATTGGTTTCAAGTTTGAGCGGTGGCCATGTGGCTTTGGAAAAGTATAAACTATTCACACCCAAAGCTAATGAGTCCACTACAGTGCAATAAATAGCATAGGCTGTCTAGTTTCTAATTAATATTAGGTGTTCTTGTTCAATTCTTCAACTCAGTCAATGACAATTTGACTAATAAACTCTAAACACATTTAATCCAGGTCTGATTATCTGAATTGAACTGTTATGGTAGTAGAGGACACATCTACTACATGTCTAAATGCTACAAACAATAATTGAACCAAACAGTATATTCTATTTCCATGGGGGACATCTTGCATTCCTTGCCTTCTGTCAGACATAAATTTTGGAATTCATGTAAATGTGTACTTTTCCTCATCAGAGCTTCAACGTTAAAACTAATGGTTTATAATTTGAATGCTAGCTTTTCCTTTGCACACACAAACAAAAGGAGCATTAAAAATAATGAAATCCGTATTACTAACAAACCAGTCTGAGAATACAAACAAAACGCAGACTTGCATACATTACTGTTGCAGATCCTGTAGCGAGCATGCTCCCCAGTACAGAAGGAAGAAGGCAGAGGGTTGTAAGGTCTCACTTGGTGCTGCTTAGGATTGGACATGTGGCTGCCTGTATGGTGCTCCTGTTGGACCTCAGCCTTGTTGGCTGAACTAGGCTGGTAAAGGGGAGCCCAGACTTGGTTATTTCTGGGATGCTGTGTCCTGGCATTCATGTAGGGTCTGCTGTAGAGATGGAGATTGCTGGAAGCATTAGGGTTGTTTAACCTGTGGCTACCATGGCCTCTAGCTGTGGGGTGGTGGGAATTAGCTGCAGCAGAGCGTCTGTGTCTGTGTGGGCGAGGGATCTTAGAGACCTGGCCTGTATCCGTCTGCAGTGAAGCAACATAGGGCGCCCTTCCATAGCCATACTTCCCTGGGATAATGTTTGTTACCCTCCTGAAAACACAAACATGAGGATATTAACACTTAGTGTGCAAGTGTAGTTATCACTTCATCTCTAGGCTACACATGTCCCTATCGAATACCACAGAACTGAATCCAGTCTGCTACCGTATTTCTACCGACAATGTTTTAAACTTGAATCAATATTTTTTTTTATTGGAAAGGTTTAGGTTTAGCTAAATGCCATCTTTTATTGAAGAAAATGTCAAGGCCCGTCTTCTGAACTACAACTTTTGTGATGCACCAGGATCTCATTGGCAGAATTCTGGGAGCTTTTGTTTGTTATTTGGCTCCTTCGATTCCAACTCAAACAACCCCCCATTACTCAGCTGTCAGTGCTATTTGTTTAAAGGCAACCGCAACAGGAAGGAGGTCACAAAGCTGCCAAGCACAAGCCGGGCTTTTGATTCCAACCATAAAAGACTAGTTTCCACTGCAGGGCAGTCAGATGTGCCCACAATGATGGCTCCAAAGAGTCACTTTTAGGCTGCGCTGCTCAGCATGCAGCACAGCCATACATGACTCACTGAAAAAGCACAGAAGCTGAAATACTTTTATTTAAAAAAGGCTTGTTGTGCCTTATAACACATCAACATAGTCGCATAAAATGCATAGATATAGAAATATGAATTGCAATATTTGTTCAAATGTTAAACATTTTGTATTTTTCAGATAAAAAGTTTAGTAGTTTAAGTAGTCGCAGGGTCATGTATTCTGACAGTAACCTGGTCATAAGTCATAGCAGACTGCCCTTTTAACTGGTGTGTGGTTGTGGAAATGGGGGTAGGGGAGGTTGTATGCAGAAGACACAGAGGGGAAAGGATGATGTTAATTTCGTATAATGGTCTTGACCGATAACATTGCCAAACAGTTATGAGTTGACTGAAATTAAGTAAAACATCCTCACTCACTCCACCATATTTACATAGTGTGACTAACCATCAGTGTCACAGAGTACGTCGCAGTCAAGCAAGATGAAATATGGAAAATAATTTTTGACATTGTACTTTTTGTCCGGATAGCTCAACCTGTGCCAGATGCTACATTAGTCATCTTCCACCATGACACGCTCTATGGACTAAAAGCAGTAATTGCTGGGCCCAACTTCTTTTCATTTGCAATGCCCCTGTCTGTTGGGTCAGATTACTATTGTGCTGGCAACCTGTAGTCTGTACTCTGTACTGGCATTTATTATTCATAGTTTATTTATTATTACTACAGTTATATAGCCAGAAGACCAAAATTCTCCCTCATATTATTTTTCATTGTGGCCTAAACGAATGCGTGGTTATTCATTATGTATCACAACATTTTTTTTGTTGCTGATCTGTATCTAAATCTGCTATTTTAAAACAAATACAATTACAAATACATCTATTAGATTGCTTTTGGTCCTACAATTAATCCCGTGTCTCTGTGCAGAATAATATCTGCTAAAAGTGTGTACCTGCGCCCACCAGGCCTGTTCTCCTTCTCTTTTCTCAGCTCTCCACGGCTGCTGCTGTTGTAGGTTCTGGCTGTGCTGCGGTGCAGAGGAACTGTAGGCCGAAGAGCTGAAACTATATGGCCTGGTTGATGAGGCTGAACACCAGCCCCTCTGGAGGGGTACTGAGATGGAGCGTACACAGGTAGGCAGGGCCTAGTCTGTTCTTGTACTCCTTTTCCACAGGTCTGGGAGCAAGCTGACCAGGGACCCCAGACACCCCAAGATCCCTGAATTTCTCCATGCTCTGCCCTAACTTCCTCGTGGTGCTCTGCCCTCTGAGGAACCTGCATGGAAATGAAACATCAATTAAGGGCATCACAAAGTGCAAAGAAGTGGAAAAGTGCTGCGAGATCTGAATGCCAAGGATTTGTGGAAAGCCTCAGCAAGACTTTAATCTTTAAAGATAATGGCTTTGAATAAAAGCTTACAATGGGGACCTCATCACATCACCACAACTATCCTGCCTCTCTGCCCCCCACCAGTGCTCATGAAATAGACCTCTGTTCATGGGAATAAAGGCCTGATTTGGCTGATTAGTGGGTGTCTGTTTGTGGTCTATCCCCTATTGGCTACCTGTGCTTCTCACTATTGACTGTATGCCTCTGTGTCGCTGTGCCAGGGACATATTAGCAGCGATCACTCTCTACTCTCTGTTTGAGGAATTTGCCAGCAGGAGTCCTTTTCCAAGCTGCCTTTATCCGCAAAGTTGCGTGGAAATCCTGTCTTTAAGGAGTGCTTTGTCGCCTTTCACAACAACCTCTCTGGGCAAACACATGGTTGTAGTAAAAGCTCAGCTGCCTTTGACTTTTAGTGGATGGAAAGAGAATACAAAAGCAGTAGGGAGAGTTGGCAGGGAGCTTCTTCTGCTGTCAGTCAGCCTGTGCAGCTATTCAGGGAAGCCCTGGACCACCCCTCTGCCTCTTCTGCAGCTTCGGCTTTTGTAACCCAAAGCCACTGTCATCTCTGGGTCACCCAAAGGTCACACAGCTGGACCCCCAGTAGAAACACACGGAGGCAATTCACACACACACCCTTCTTTCTGACAGTTCTGTTGGTCAGCCATCTTCCATTACTTGTGTCTCTGCGGGGGTCAAGAGGTGGATTGCTGACAACTAAAATCAGCCCTCTTTGTTTGGCTAAGGCCGACAGATGTTTTCACTTTCCGCCTCTACAAGTACAGATTATCACCGTGGTCAGGTTACCCCTGGGAATACTCTCATTCGCTGTTTTGGGTGGCATTTGGCTGTGCTGGTGAGAAACAATCATGCATGCCATCTTTGGAGATGAGCATTCCTGTCTCTTTTTCCAACCAAGCAATTAGACTAAAAGATAAAACACCAAAAAGAAAAATTCCAGGAAACATTTGATGGAGGTCTACCATCATGAGAATTAGGACATCAAGCAAATCACACAAGTTAGAACACTGACATGTTTTTTCTAGTAGCTCCATCTCCCATGCTCACCTTTCTGTGGTCTGTTGTGTGCTGGCTGCCCAGGGGATCTGACCAAAGTAACAATAGCAGCATAGACAGTCTGTACAAACCAGAGAGAAGTAATTACTGGTCATATTTACAGCTTTACTCCAACTGGTTTATTGGCTCACAATAGAAATTATGATTTGCTGATACTACTATTGAAATATTGCTGAAATACTGACATACTGTTATTCAGCTTCTATTAAGGATAATCAGAGAATGAGTCAGTCTCACAAAAAATGGGAACACAGACATAAATCTGAGGTTAACCACAAATGAATGCACCTGATATTAATTTACCTGACAGTCCAGACACAGCCTCCTTTCATTCTTCCTGGTTTCTTAAAGCTGTACACTTAAATGTAAAAAGAGAAGTTGACATTAGCATGCACCTGAGTGGTGGTGACATTTTCAGCGCTGATGTGAGGCTACAGTCCAGAAGCTTCAAAGAGTTAGATTCTGTCTAATCACGGTCCATCTACAGAACAGACTCAGTTTACCTTTTTAGCTTGGCATATATTCAAAGGAAACGTTGATTCTATCAAAACTGGTACCTTTTTTTCCTACCGCTTCACTCTAGAATCCATTTGAAAAAGACTTTTACCCACCTGACCCTGTGATGACCTCTTAACTTCTGGAATCTAAAAACTGCATCACCACTGACAGCAGGTTTGAGTTGCAGTCAGAGAAAAACTTTCACCTGTCACCCCTTACCCTATGACCTAGGCCTTCTTTGCACATTTCCTACATGAATTTTATTGACACAAATGAAATGGTCAAAAAGACCTGAGAACTGCCACTTAGCAAACACCGGGAAAACACTGAAATGCGAATGGGGGTGGTAGATAATTAGTTGTGCTGAAAATCATAGAGTTTAACCTCAGAGCACACTTTTTGATAGAATAATGCTTTTTAAAGGTCGCCCAGCAGACAGTAACTTTCGATTAATTACTGCGATTCTTCCCTCAGGACGCAGGACGCCACTTCCCGTAATACACATTCACTTTACTCGCTGTGAGGATTAATTTATTATAGTTAAAGAAAAATAACAAGAAATGATAATAGTATGACAGAAAGGCCTATAGCATCATCTCCACCTACCTGTACTTTTAGTTACTGACGCGTGTATGGTGAAGTTATTTGCTGCCTCACTGTAAGCTCTAAGTAGTAGTAGTAGGTCCTATCAACGCGCAATCCTCATGGTCGAAACATTAATCCAGGTAGAAATCCAGGGCTTCCCTCTAGAAACTTGCTGCTGAGCCATGTAAATCAGTTAATCCGTACCAGAGTTGTGAAACAAATCCAGGCAGAGTGTAAACTCCAGACTCTAATCATCACGGTGACTCCGGTGGTTCTACTTTTACGCACAAAGCCACTGAATGACAGAAAGCTGGAAACTGACACAACGCATGGAATGCGCCCTCTGCTGCGCCCCCTGCCGCTGTGACTACGTTGTCTGACTGTGTGTGTTTGTGTCTCGTGTAAATATTGAGGTGTGCGCCTCCTTTCCAATTCCGCGAAAGGTGGTGGCGAGCTTGTATGTATTTATGTGTAAAGTGAGAAGGAAGTGGGGGGGTTTATGTTCCTCTCCAAAGTCTTTTCGACACTCCTCTCGCCGTGAGCTGCCCATGTTGGAGCCACATGCAGGTAAACGATCTCCTTAATCGAGTCAAAGCTACTCCCGTGTCTCTGACAGAGGTCACAAAAGGGATCTAAGTGCTGAAAAACTGAAATGCTGGTGTATTAGCTGCATTTAGCTTTTGTTCTCTAACACTGCATACGACAACGCCGCAAGGACGCCAGTAACTCGTATTTGTGAGGGTTATTTTGAAATACAACTTTCAAAATATTGCTCGAGTCTTTGTAAAACTTGCAATAGTTTTAATCAGCAGCAATTAAAAACAAACTGAATATATAAAATAACAAAACAGCAAAGTTAAAGGGCAGTTTTATCAAAATAATGTTTCCCCTTCTTGCCACAAATAAAATACAGCCAGGACTCATTAGATAATCTAGTTCATGCCTTTGTGACATGATCATTTTTTATCTAGCTTCTACAAAATGACATAGAGTAATTGAAGAAACTGTTCTGAAAGAAATGCAATTTGCACAGTTTTGTTTGCATGGATTTATTGTTTGGTCATCCAATAAACCAACTCATAGTGTTATATGTACAGCTTTACCTATACTGTTTCAATACTGGGAAAATGCAGAAAACCACAAAACAGTGAATTAAACTATAATTCACAAGAATTGTCTTGATTTTTTCCAGGATGTCTCAAAGGAGCAGATTTCATTAAGGGGGATTGGTACTCGGATGCAGCCAAAGCAAATATACAAAAACTGGATAATCTAAGACTTTTTAGCTAAATGAAAACTGGAGGCATTTTTATATGAGGTAGGTCACATGTGGAGTAACATTTGGCTTCGGGCTTGAATCACAGACATTTGCTGTTTTATTTTTGCAGAGTAAAAAAGCTCAGTGTATTGTTCTCTTCAGTCTGTTTATTTAGTTTGAAAAACAGAGCTATGCATAGCAGAGTGGTTTATACCACAGCAGCTTATTATAGCCATCATTCATAAACATGCAGCCTTTATTATAGAGTATAGCCAACATAATCTACAAATATTGTGAAATCAGTATGCCAATATGTCTGTGCAGCCTAAGTCTGTGCATAGAGATCCATCACCAGTGGTACTGGTGGCACTAAGTACCACTGCACTGCAGTATGTCTCTTTGCAGTATGGGGAGTAAAGTAAAGGCAGCTTGCCCCCACTGACTTTTCTCACTAGTGCATAGATGCTGAGACTGCTCAGGCATTTAACCTTGAAGTTTTTAAACCTTTCTTAGACAAACAATACTGTTTCAGATGATTGGCTGACAGTCTGTCTAGACAAGATTTAAAGACAGTGGACACTACTGTCTCACACAAGGTGAACATGTACACTGTCTCTGGACAACACTCAAAAAAATTTCATGAATGTGTCTAAAGGGAGCAGTAGAATGACAAGCTATAGTAAAGCACCATCTCCCTTTATTTATTTACATTTTTTTAAGGGTTAATGTGAGTTGATCTTCAGGGGAAATTTATTTTGCAATCTACATCTAACTCATTATAATTCTGAAATGCAATTGATTAACTAACAAGTCAAACCACTGTTTCAGATCATTATTTTTTGCAGCACATGGCTCACAATAAACAATACACTTGGTTCATTCCAGCAGAAACTAATAGTTGGTCCTGTGAGGTGGAACGAATTGGCAGCCGGCTCTCCAGACTGCAGAAAAATCTATCAGAGTTGAGCATATCAACACTGCAGCTTCTAAACCAGCTCTTAGGATTTTAGCTTGTCATTCACCCAAACAGAGATTATACAGATAATATTGCATGGGTTTAGTCAACTATTTTATAATAAGTACAATAATGAATTCACTCTCATTTCACTCCCCCTTTTGGGTTTACTGTGACCTTCTGCGTGTGTCTACATTATAATTACACCATTACACTCGTAAACAGACAACTGTAAGCTTTAAACCACAGCTGAATCAATCAAGCCTGAAGCGTGGAGGTTTAAAGTTGTCTGAGAAATCAGAGGTACACAAAGATGGAAAGAAAGTTAGTCCATTATTTGCATTCTGAAAATGAGATTGTCTTCACAGCCTTGCAGAAATCCTCACACTAGTTTGCCTCTCATTATCCAAGCTCTTCTTGGCTGATGGCCACTGTGCATTGGCAGCTGAGACGTACAGTGCTGCTGTTGTGACAGAAAAAAAGTGCATTGATTTACTGTGAGCAAGGATCCAAGTGCTCAGTTTTCAGGCGTAGATAAAAGCTATTTTGATGATCTACTGTAGCCGTGCTACCTGAGATAAATTGAAAACCTTATGCTTTACTCGCCCACTTTAAGTATTACAGCTATTGATTACTATCATGTAACCAGACCAATCCTTGCTGCAAACACAGCAACTCTAATTGAAAAAAGAACTATATATATTTTAATATTCAGACATAATAAAATTGCATTCAATACACATTGCACATTTAATACAAATGTCAGTGTAACGTCCTATGATAAACAAATATGTATTTAATTTGTGCCGCAGATTGATTGACAGTTATTTCTCACCAAGACATATGGAGCACATATTCATGTGTGTAGCTTTCTAGACTGGATGGAGCTCAGGAAATACTAAACTGTCTGGACTTCTCTCCAGCGATGAGACATTGCTCTCATTTTGTGGCTCTGTGCATCTGTTTGCTGTCACTAGTCACAAAGTTCTGTCAGTCCTTTGGGACTAGACTTTTCTTGCAGTGTTGACACCTGTAGTCTCACAAACTAACAAAATATAACAACAGTGCATTGCTGATAGGCAGCAATGTTGCGCATCAGACGTGTTCAAAGTAAACTAGTTGTCGCTTTCTGATAGCAGACATTTGCACTGAGAGCTTTCCTGTCAACGCAGAACAATGAGCCTTCATATGAAATCATCATGGGACAGTTGTCCCAAAAACAACACGTTATACTGTGTTTCTTTTTATACAACAACTGCGATGTTCTGGTTCTTAGATTTAACTGCTCTATTAGAACAGATGCTGAACTATACTCTGTAGCATGGGCAGAAGATTGTTGTGGGAGAAAAGTAAATATGAATGTCACTCACATTACTTTTTTTACCAGGAAATAGCCACCGGGCACTGATGTTCTTGCCTTCTTCAAGTCAAATGCCCCAAGAAAGGCACTGATCTCCAGTGAGGTGGATGACATATGACAACACGACCCATCAGCTTGTGTGGGGCTGTTTGACACTCGTGGTGTTACTCCTCTGGCTTGGTGCCATTCCCTGCTGACTGTCAGATTAAATAAGGGTTAAGCATTTTTTGTAGGGTTAAAGAGCAGGTGGTGGGAAACAGGTGAAGCCTCTACACCTTCGGGGACATTCCAGTCTTAGTTCACGCTACCTTCCTAGTTTTTGGACCTCCTAGCATGAATGTAGAGGCTCCGCCTTCTGAAATACCAATGGCTTGTGACTGACTTTCAAAGTGAGAATGGCATATTTTAAGAAATGATCTAACTGGATGACCTAGCCCCTTCACTCCAGTAGAGACATTTATCAGAAAAATAATTAGGTATACTATGCAGACAATCTCAGTGTTAATGCAGAATTGTTTAATACTAAGCACAATACAGAAAATCAGTGGTAAACAAAGAAAAGACCTTGTCCTTGTTTGTGCCCTTGCATTTATGTCCCGCAGGAAGAAATGAGAGAGCAATGGATGAGACAGGCTTTAAGACAGAAAAATCATTCTAGTCTCAAGAAAAGAGACACTGGTCATTTTCAGCTGATGATATTAATGGTGTAGAAGGGTCATTCAGATGGCTTTTAAAGTGCAGACAATGCTCCCTATGGGCAACAATGCACATTGAGTCACTAAGTCTCTTTAACATTCTTCAAGTATTATTTACCTTCAAGCTCTGAAGAATCAAACTGTGGGTTTTTAGTGAAAAATCTACATTCAGACAATTTCTTCAGACATCTATAAAATAGTCTAGGTACATTTCAAGCAGAAGCTTCCAACAGACTAAGGAAATACACCCTTGTGTTTCCAAATGCATTAAAACTGATAAAGTGATTATGTGTTATCCATTTTGAAATTAAAGGACGAAGATGCCCAAGAAAGCTCTGTCCACGTGTGCATGTATGTTGCCTAACAGTGAACCTCTGGTCCTTTTCACTTGGTCTCAGAGAGCTTTGCCAGGCTGGCTTGGCGGAAGGCCGCTCGGTCCCTCATTTCCAAGACACAGTCTCTCACCATCTCTGCAAACATGGAAGGCCAGAGCTTGTGTAAAGCCTCGCCCTTCAGGTTGGTGTCTGATGCACTTTGGACCAACTCCTGTAGGTACTGCTCTACCATAGTAGCACGCTCTGACGACTCCACACTGCCCTCCTGTGAAAGGAAAGAGAGCTCATTGTTGTTGATTCTGTTTTTCTATGGCATGGGACATGTGAAACCATTGAAATTGTCTATTTTCTCTATGAACTGCTCACAATGTGCTGAAAAATATAATAAGTACACAAACTTCAGATAATAACACACAGACAGTAATAATCCTACATTTCTTTATTAAACACACCCATAATACAATCACAGTGCAAAAGTGAAACCTTAGATTCTTAGTTCACAAGGAAAATTTGCACTATTCGGATCGGATAAATTCTAATGATCTCTGGTGATTGATTGATTGATTGATTGATTGATTGATTGGTAATTTATTTCAACATGTGAACAATATACAAGTACATTTAGAAAAGAAAATAAGAAAGAAAAAAAAATACTATACAAAAAAAAATGTTCTGATTAATTTACATGTTGAAAGGGAGTGGGAAGAAGTAAACACTTATTTAATCCCACCCCTTTGCCATAAATTATCAGTTAATATTTAGTCAGCTTCCTTACTGATATAATTTGTAATAAAAACAGCGAACACATTTCTGATATACTATATACTATAATATCACATCATGAGTTTTTGTTTTGTTTTGTTTTGTTTTTTTTTAAATAGAGACATTCACTTAATTTAAATATTTTCCTTTTCTTTATAGTTTGAGAAGATCATGTTTTTATAACTCTTTTTGAACAGTTTTATGTTTGGACATTGCTTTAATTCCATATTCAGACTTTTCCATAGTTTCACTCCATGAACAGAAACACAAAAGCCTTTTCTTGTCGTACGTACCTTCATTGTTTTGAAGTTACAAAAACCCCTTAAATTATAACTTCCTTCTTTCAAAAAAACATACTCTGCAAAAAGCTTTCTTGACACTTACTACTGCTGCAACACCCAACATCTACTAAGCTTTGTTTCAAGGACAGCTAACCACATATTATCCTGTAAGACACGCTAATAAAAGATGGGAAGTCTAGAAAAACAAAGCAGTTTTTAAAAGCCTTTTGTGCGAAAAAAGCTATTGCTCAAAAAATTGTTTGGCTCAAAAAACAAATTCAAAAACAAATTTAAGGTTTTGGAGTGCCTGAATCACAGGCCACACTTAAATTCTACTGACACGCTTTGCCATGAACTTAAACAGGCCACTCATGCTTGAAAACCCTTCAGTGTGGTTGAATTGAAACAATTCTGCAAAGAAGAGTTGGCAAAAATTCCTCCACAGTTTTTTTTTTCACATGGAGGTAGGTAGGTTTGGATAACTTTTTTTCCCCTCAATAAATGAAATCATCTCTTAAAAGTGCACTTTATATTTTCTGGAATTATCTTTGTCTAACATTAAAATGTGCATAATGATCTGAAACATGTAATTGTAACAAATTTTCAAAAAAGGAAAAAATCACTAGGAGGGCAAATTCTTTTTCACAGCACAGTGGTTGAGCAGACAACTAATATGCCGAAGGCTATTCTTCTCTCTGCTGTGCCCTGTGTTTGAGTCTCCTTAAGAGTATTTCCTGCAAGTCACTCTCACTCTCTCTCTTCATTTTACGGTCTACCCTACACTGTGTGTAATAAAGATCTTTCTTCATTGAGCATGCCATGCTTCACTGTTGGAGATGTTAGATGATAGTTGTTATAGCTGTTTCTTGAGTCAACATTCAAATGATTTCCATACGTATTTAAACATACATATAGACTGTGAACAGAACAACATCATTTGCATGTTTGCTTTACAAATGATAATACATTTGGTTTGTTCATTTTTCTATCTTATAAATACATTTGTTTTTCAAACAGAAATGATAGGAGTGTCTTAAATTAGTGGAAACAGAGGTCTTACATATCGCAGTACGCTTTTGTTAAACATGCAACTAAATTATAAAGTCAATGCTGGTGTTGATGTTATAATGAGATTGGGTAAACAGCCTTTATCTAACTTTAAAAGAGAGGTGAAAGAGGTGACCTGAACATGGGGCAGAAAAGCAAGAGTACTGTCATGCCAAAACAGGTTCTGGTGCCTGATCTGCACAAACATGTCAGATGCTTCACTCTGTCCTCAGTAAATGGAGGTTAAATTGCACCCAAATAAAGCAGGATGAAACTGCATTAGTGCAAGTGCCGGTTACTAAGAGGCTACAGTAGCTAGAGGCTTAGGCTTCTCCAATGTGCTGTTATCCCAAGTTCACTGTATTTATTGTTGCTGAATTTAAGAGAAAATAGAGATTTGAGTAATATTAAGTAATCCCAAGTGGAACCATGTTAACTGTATCTGGTTGAGGAAAGTAATTTTAAGATTTCAGAAATTGCTGGGGTTTTTTCGGCTTATAATGTGTGTTTTATAAGCTATGCCATCCAATTCAAAGTTTCTTGCAACACTGGTGGTATTAGTTGCACTTGTTAGTGAAACCTTTAGCAATGATGATGATAAAACAGCATGCACAATATCTTTCATTGCTATAATAGTTCTATGGAGATATTGCAGTGAAGACCAACTTTCAGTCCATCTCACCCATGCTGCTCACTCCTGCTTTATCTGACTTAATCAATGCCATAACTGTTGTAACAGAGGCCTGCTTTGTTCTCTGAATATAAATGACTGCAGATCAAGATACAAGTTTCACAGTACAGTAGTCCTGCATGAATTAGAAAGGACTGATGCCAAATACTGATTCCTGTTCGATGGTGCATTAATGACCTGTGTGTTATTTGTATGAATGACACCAGAAGCTGACTCCTGTTCGAGTCATTGTTTGTATTTTCTCTTAACCTTCTTTTGAAGATGAAGTACAGTCAGCACTATAAATAAGAACTAACCTCAGGGCTCTCTGCACTGCAGTCTCTGCTTGGATAGTTAAACAACGCTCTGCTCAGGCCTTCTCCCAGGAGTTTCCCATTATCACGCAGCTCCTCTGGACTGAGTCCTGCCCGCCGGCCGCGCCCCTCCAACAGGAACTGCAACTGCCGCTTCCTTCAGGGTGAAGAAAGACAAGAAAGAAGAGTAAGTCAGATATAGACTGAAAAAACACAAAGACACCTGGGGAGAAACAGTGGCTGCAAGTGAGTGGCACCACTATAATAAAGGCATGTTTTTGTATCCATCAAATGGCACTATTTCAACTTAATACTGTGAAAACAGTTTCTTGAGAAATAAGGGAAAGGGCTCACTTGAGAAGTCATCAGAAATTACAGCATTTAAACAAACACTGACAGTTCAGAAAGGTCAGCAACACTCAGATACTTTGAACAAAAAAACACCATAATGGATTAAATCCAAACAGGCAAACAATATGTAAAATGTTAATAGTCTTTTTGAACTGTTTCCATAAATATTTTAATGTCTTTAACACAGAGAAGTACAATACACTTATTAAAGCAGTACAGCGCTCTAACATAAACTACATCAAATGTTGCTGTCTATCAAAAGTAAATGTCATGTGATACACTACTGCACCAACATGTACCACAGGTCAGTGCCAGGATGCTGAAACTGTCTTTTCAGAGGAAGCTGGAGGCAAACATTCCTTTTAAGATAAGACAGTTTGTAGAGTGTGTGAATTGCATGTGTATGCCAAAACACATCAGTGTCATTTACACGTTATAATGACTAACACAATAATACAGATGCATAGAAGTTAGATCTGATAAAAAAATAAATAAATAAATAAAAAACTTGAAACAACACCTTGGGTTTGATATATGATCCCACTGTTTCAGCCTGAATTTTACAAACACAGTGCAGCATTAAACACACTGTTTAATGCTGAGGAATTTAGTTGTATTTTGTCCATCAGAGACCTTAAGCAATATAGCAAGCATGCCCAGTTACAGCGTTAGTTTCCCTTTGATGTCTTCACTCAGACTGAAGTTAAAGAACCCTAACGGGTGTGGGTGGGGGAGGTAACTTAACTTAACCTAACTGATTAAAGGTAGATAGATCAATAAATGGGCCATGCTCTCTCTCCGCTTGTTCACTGTGCATCAGTTCTTTATTACTATATTTTATACTTTATATTACTATACTCTATACTTTATTATGATATTCTATTATCTTTATTACTTATCCAGATAAATAACATTATAACTCTCTTTTTCAAGAAATGGCCACGAGGATATTACAACCATTATAAACGCATACAAACACAAATACAACTGTCACACACTACAAATGAGTGAAAATGAACAGTTGTTGAAAGCAGAGAATACACACTACTGAATCTTACACATGTAACTTTATACTGAGAGGAAGTATGAAATATGCTTAATGCAGGTATAACACATGCTATATGAGAAGGAGAAGCAAGGGACAGAGAGAGGACATTAGCATTTTATAAATTATTTTTATAAATGAAAAAATATATATATTATTGATTGGTGATAGCAATCTCTGTTCTGGTCCATTAAAGGACTATTCACATCTATTACAGGAAAGACAAGAAGCACAGATTTTGTATGAAATTAAGGCAATTAAATGATTAGCTAAGTAAGCGTTGACTATAGACTGACTCAATGCCAAATTTTAGAGGAGCTCGTGTGCACAGAAAAATCAGATAGCTAATATATGCAATATAAACAGCATCACATGTGTTTCCAGTGTCAGCTCCTTATGATGCAAAACAAAGTGTGATAAACTGAAAGCGTTTATTATAATGAGATCTTAAATTCCATAGTGAAGGATGGGTTTTTTGGTTTTTTTCACTAGAACGCCTGTGGCGCACAGATAAGCGTAGTCTGAATGCATACCTTTGCCACGGCTACAAATGCTGCATGAATTGAGTCCCTGGATCCAGAGGCATATCTGACTACATAAAAAATTATGTACAATAATTTTTAGTATTTCTATTTCTATTAGCTATTTATTTTTTGCAAAATGTGATGCACATTGTGATTTTTTGCCATATCTTGCAGGTCAAATCGGTCCATAACTTTTAAAATCATTTTGCAAAGAAACCCATCAAAACAGCTTACTGATGAAGGCACTGATGCAGAGTTATGCAGCCATCCATAACTCTGCATCGAGGAGACGCTGCAGTGACAGAATCCCAGTGGGGACAAATTCTGAAATGTGCAGAATGCCTAAACTTACTGACCTCTGCAGGAACTTAATTCCTCACTAGTGTTTAAGGTAACCCCCCTAAACAAAATAGACATAACAAGAGCTCAGCATTAATTTACCATCTTTTAATACTATTTGCTCACTCATAATTGCTGTTTCCAGTAATTTCTTTTTTTATTATTATTCATGCTGGGAAACTAAAACCACATTTTATGTGAGAAACAATCTAGAGCAGTTTTCAGATTTTTTTTTAAATAAGTGAGTCAGATGGATACAAATTATTCAAGATCCTGCATGCGGATAACAGTGAGTAAGATTTCTGCACTGATATGAAATTAATCTTTGGCCTTGGGCTGTTGTGTGTTATATTTTCATAACAGACTCCATGAAGCAGAGGTGAGATACAAAGAATATAAAGGCAGTTGAAATTGAGTTCTAGGTTGTTTAAAATAAATTTGTTTACATTTTATTCAACGTGCATTAGTGTGCCCATCTCCTTATGGCTGTTTCCAGCAGGATAGTGTCACAAAGCTCAAATCGTGTCAAACTGGTTTCTTGAAGATGACAATGAGCTCACTGTACTCAAATAACTTACACAGTCACCAGATCTCAATCCAGTAGAACCAGATCCAGTAGAGATTTTCAATCTTTTTCAATCTTTTTTTCAATCTTTTTCAATAAATGTTTCCTGTCAATATAACTGAAATCTATGAGGAATGTTTCCTTTGTGATCTATGCAATCAAAAATTAAGGCAGTTCTGATGCCAAACCTGTTACAAGTAAGATGTATTCAATTATCTGGGAAGTATATAATCCTTAATTTATTTATTATCCAGGTAGATATCACTGAGTTCAAAAAATGTCTTTACAAGAAATCTGGCCAAAGTAGTCTTGTGCGTGACAAGCAGATTTCTTTTCCTTGTTAGGATGTTTTTTAATTGACCCTGAGAGACAGACCTCAAGAGCTTTTTGGCTGGGGAGAGAAAGGAATGTTTGTGTCTAAATGCCAAGTACCCACCCTTATCCTGAGACACTAATTCCCCTGGCTCCTCAGTGCCAGGCTCTGTCTCACTGTTACTCACACTCATATACCCACAAAACGCTATGCACAGGCATGTACACACATGTACAGAAGCCTACATCTGACACACATTTAAGGATCCACACATTTTTGACATACTTAAACAAACAATCTACATGGTCCAAGACACAGCACACACCTGCCATTAATCTGTAGTTAATGCTATGTTATGGTTAAACATCTGGAATCAAGTTCTCACCTGGACTCCTCAAGCAGCAGAAGGAGCCGGCAACGTGGAGTTTCGGTGGCTGCTATATGGCCCAGTGTTCCAAATACACGTTCTGCAGCGATAACATCGTTCATGGTCACCTATGGTGAATACACAAAGCACATACATACACACAGCACAATATATTTCAGTGACAATCTTTTTCATGTATTTTTCAATACGAAATGAAGATTTACAACTTTATTCATGGGTTCGGCTTAGCAAAAAGGTTTGATCCCATTTAACAGACGCAAGATAGGATAAGACATGAAAGTGGCAGCTAACACAGACACAAGTGGCAGGTGAAAACTAATTTAAAGGTCATTTATCAAATCAAGTCTAAAATGGGATCTAATGTAGAGGCAATATCCTCAGGTACAGCATTCCAGGAGACACAGACCTATAATTTATAATTGTACCTATGAAGCGCCTTGAGGCGACTTTTGTTGTGATTTGGCGCTATATAAATAAAATTGAATTGAATTCATTTAGGGCTGGCAACAGTAAATTAATGGTTTGACATGTTTTTAATTAATTAATTGCCCCTCTGTGAATCGCTACCTTATCATGGTGGAGGGGTTTGTGTGTCTGAGGGGTTCCATGGACCATGTTGTCAGGGGGCTTTTGCCAAAATATCTCACTATCTATAAGCACCAGGAGTGTGTTAAAAGACCAAGCTAATCCTCACCTCCTGGCCATTTATCCTCTGCAGGTTGAAGTGGTGAAGACGATAGATGACAAAGGAACGCCAAAGAGTCAAACTGACCACTGGGTTGCCGTCTGGGTGTATGGTCAGCTGGTCTAGGCGCCTCACCTGAGCCAGGGCTGCCAGCTGCGGCAGACGGCTGATGTTGGTTTCCAGGAATATCATATGCTACCGAAAAGAAACAAAAGTTGGTACGTGTTAAAGCAATAAGTAGTTGTTTATATCAATAACTCACTAAATTAAACTAGGACTTAAAAGATTGGCCTTTGGCAAAAAGGGTTTAAAATATTTAAACAATATATTAAAATATTAAATGATGTGATTTTTTTATACTGCCTTGATTTACACTGCCTCAACAATATACCTGTGAGGCAGCTATAAGTATAAATTATGGGCCCTACCACTGACTATTAAATTTATTTTTCTATTGTATATTGGATTAATGTGGCACTCTACAAGATACATTACGTAATAAGAGAAATTAACTAAAGGTTCAGGGACAATAACTAAGGACTATCTGGCTATGATCTGGCAAATAGCCACTAGCCAAGACCGTCTTTTGGTGTCATGTCATGGAACTTTGGTGAGTAAGGTAAATAAAAAATGCAATGAGCGTATTCCTTCCTTCCTTCCGTATTCCGTCCTGATTAATTAATTAATTACTTAATTAACTCATCACAGCTGCACAGCTAATAATATATCATGGCCTCACCGACAGATTTGGGAACTTGACTCTTATTCGTGGCAGTGTTGGTACTATGGCATCAAAGTTGATGTAGCGGAAGGTTATTACAGTGACAGCACCAGCAGTCTGAACACCCCAGCCCCTCTCCAGGGCCTCCAGGGCTCCAAGTCCAAATAAACGCAGGGTGTCTCCATCCAGCTCTGCCAGGTGACTGTCAGACAAGGACAAGCTTTGAACACTGCCACTCCCTGCCTCCACAAGCCTGCAAATTACATACAAACACACACAAAAACACTCCTTAAGTTAATTTTCTGATACTAAATGCGCAACTTGTGTTTTTTTGTGAAACTTGAAGAATGTCTTCATGAAAAAAGTGTATGCTACATTTACTTGAAAATTCAGGCATTGTTGCTAAGAGAAGTGGAACACAAGAGAACACTCACTGGTCTAGTCAATGTCCTGTTTGTGCTGCCCAATTGCTTTCTATACTCCTAGACAACAGTTGAAGTGCCCTTCTCTGATAAGAGAGTCGTGAGAGTAGAGAATCTTGGCGAGTCTCAAGGAGACATAATCTCCGTCTGGGTCTGCTGACACTCAAGGGACTTTTCAGCATAGCAGGGCATCAGATGGCTACTGGCTCCACCCTATTCAACAGTGATCATGACTTCAGGCTGCCAATAGACAAATCACCCCTATTCATGTTTCATATCCTCTTGACGAAATGCAACAGAAAGCCAAAGTACTTTTAAGATTAATCCCTTGATTACTGAAGTCTAATCCAAGATTACACAGAGACCAAACTTTAGAAAGTGTGAGTTTGAGTTGTGACCTTAGATAGGTTAAATAGATAGTCAGGAGCACAAAATATAATGTAAACAAAAAGAGTATATTTAGTTTTCCATAATGAGGCTGTCTCATATATAAGGCTTGTTTAAAAAGTCACCATTTTTAGAGAGTGGCCCTCAAACAATAGCTTTTTCTATAGTCCCGAGTAGGTGCAGTTTCCGCTCCTAGGTGGAAAAAAGGTTGCCATAGATTTTTAAAAACCAAACAAGTACTGTGAATGAATAATTGAACTAAATCAGTAACATACCTCTTTAAAATGAGCAGTTTGCTACAGGTAGTGTTGTGTCTCAACTAGATTGACAAGCTTGACCAAGTACAGGAAATGCAAACAAAAACAGGTTTGCACATTTTTGTGTGTATTAGTGTGTAATTTCATAGTTTCATAATCTGTAACGTATTTACTCTTTGGACAGAAATATTGGTATTAATTTTTTTTTTTTTTTGTGAATCTGCAGTTTATTGTCTCAATCTATTAACCACGGGTCTAAAAGGTGTTAAAACTAATAAACAGTAAGTAAATTGGAAGAAATTAAAATCATAAAGTCCATGTGTTGTCTACAAATTTCATACTTACAGAATTCATATGCTGATTAATTAACTGTGCAGCCGCACAAATAAGATGAAAAAATTGAGACAGAACTACTACATGTTCTACTAATTATATTAAAAAGTGAAGACAGTGAGAATGATTATATAAGATTATCAGAGTGTCATAGTGAAACCTTATAGTTATCAATATAACATGTTCAGCCTGCTAGGGGAATAAGTGACACAACTGACTGGCAATGTGCTTTTCAACAGGTGATGGATTGGTCTTGGTGATGGATTTATTTTTGTGTTAATGTACAGTCGTAAATAAATACAGTAGTCTACATAAGACTTCAGTGAGTTAAACACAATTTAATTAGTGATAAACATAAGCTCACTTGCTTCAAATTATGCTTTCCAGTAAGCACAACAAATCATGCACTGTGTCATTTCAGGCCGGAAATCAAGGTACACCGCTGCAAGCAGCTTTTCATCCCACATCAACCAAGACTCCTCCTTTCATGCTGCAACTAACTGAATACTTTAATATCCATTGTAACTAATGCCTGCTTTGTTTGTTTGGGGTTTTTTATATATATATATATATATACATAATATAAATTCTTGCAGATGGAAGTAACATTTTCAAGCTATACTGTTCCAGGCTGAACTAAATTAATCATGTAATACAACCTGAACTTCTCACAATGCACTACTCACTGATGAGGAGTGTCCCCCTCAATCATTATGTTTTTACCTAGACATATTACTCCAACATAGCGAATGTGATCCACCACTCACTCTGTGGCTTGTTAGTCAAATGTCAAGGGACGGTCATGGTGTGGGGGATTCCACAGATGTATTAAAGAAACTGATATGTGTAACAGTCAGCCTTTCTGTCATTTTTTCCCCAATGGCCAAAAATTGAACTTACACTCAAAAGAAAAACCCTGAAAGTTTAAAAAGCATTTTCTTAAGTACAGTGATTATATCGTATTCAGTCATGTGAAAAACTAGGAACACCCCATCATGTAATAGCTTGCAGAACAACCTTCAAGCCTGGACATTGACTTGGCCATTCCAATACCTTGATTGTTTCCTTTTCAGCCATTCTGTTGTACATTTGATGTTGTGTTTGAGATTGCTGTCTTATACTGTCCAGTGACATGGCCTCACATAAAATACACTGGCATACAGAGGAGTTCATTGTTGACTCAGTGGCTACATGGTACCCATATTTTGCAGCTGTAAAAGGAACATAAATCTGCACTACTATGAATGACAGCTGGTCTGTGAATGTACTGATATTGTGTTTACTTTTTGCCAAATTTGGTGTTGTGCGGTATGGCAAAACAACGCCTCTTTGGTCATGTTTTTCAAAAAGACACTGTTCCAGAATTCTTATGGCTGCTATGTTCTTTTCAGAGAAAATAGACTTTCGCTTGGTAACCTTTTCAAACAAGCCACGATTTTTCAGTCTTTTTATAATTGTACCGTCATGAACTTTAACATTTAACATTCATACTTTTTTTTTTTGGGGGGGGGGGGTTTACAATTTGTCTGAGCATTGCACAGACCTTGGGGAAGATTTGCTAGGAAGGCCACTACTAGGGAAACTGTGGAATTCCGTTAACATGCACTTGAATGCTCCAAACCAGAAACCTGCCACAAACTCTACTCTTATAAAGGTGGTCACACATGCTGATGATCAGTTAATTAGATGCATTTGATTAGTAGTATCTTCTTGCAACTTATCCTCCTAGTTCCTAAGAATGTTCTTAGTTTTGTACAAGACTGCACAGACTGCTGTGCAAATGTTTTTTTGTATTGTTTTTTTTTTCCACAACTGTATAAAAACAGTACAAAAACAGTACAAAAGGTCAGAATTATGCTTTTTATATAAGTACATATACCAACCTTACAAACATGGATGCCAACATGAACAAAGGGTTCAAATAATTCTTGCAACAAGTGCAGTAGAAGGAGTGCATCCATTTTTTACATTTTTATTTTAAAAACGTGTGTGGACATTGATAGATGACTATTTCAGATGACAAAATCTCACTGACTGCAAGCATATATGTTAGATAAAGTAGTAGCAAAGAAGTTTTAAAACCGTAAAATCCAAGTGGGTCGTGTTTCAAGTGCACACATGGACAAAAACATGGAACTAGACGGGGAGACGCCAGGCTCTGAAAGCCAGTTTAATATATTTAAGGAACATGCCACGCCTCCAAGATGCAAGAATGCCAAAGGCTATAAATCAGAAGGAGTTGAAGAACAGTGCAGGAGATGGAGTGTAGTATGTAGATAAGTCACATCAAGAATGAGAGTAACTTCTAAACACCTGGCAGCGTGCCATCAACACAATCTGCACTGTCACATGCTGTTCAGCACAGCTGAAGGCTCCAGGTGGCCCTGAATCCCCTTATGACATGAACCCATGTACAAATGCTGAGAAAAGAAGAGCGCAAGGCGGGGAAGACGGAGTGAAGAATCTATCACAATTATACGGCTCCTGCTCGCTCAATGAATTATAGAGAACAACATTTAATTCAATTAGAGCTATTTAACATAATCCAAAAGAGGTTTTAAAAGGGACATCTGTCATCTCTTAACAACTGAATCCCACCACAGAAACAGCTTGTACAAATGCCTAAATATTGTGAGGTAGTGACACATATGAAACTTTGAACTGAGCTGTTATTTTAACACGCCACTCCATCATTTCTATCTTGTAAGAAGTGAATGCAATTTATTAAGATGCAGGCTTACTGGGTACTTAGTGTTGCACAGAACAGTCCTGTTTCTGTAAAGTATTCCTACAGCTTGCACTGGTTTAAAACGTCTTAAGTTCTTCCTTCACTCATATAGCCCACTAAATCTCTTTCTCACCATTGTTCCGGTATCTAACTGATTTATGTGCCTCAAAAAAACAAACACCTGTTCAGGATCTCTCAATTTCATCAATGTATAAACACTACAAAGCCCCTTCCATATCTTCCCAACTCAATTGCTGAATTTCTGGGTAATAACTCTTCTATTGCCATGCAACCCTTATTCCATCTGTCAGGGGTAATGAGGTTAATTAAATCTAAGATTTCACAAAAATGAATACAATCATGCCTACATAAGAGCCATAATTTGCCAATGATACAAACTATTGTCCCATAAATTTTAGGAGCACGATGATACTATCAAGCTAAAAGTGGCATCAACATTCGTTTACGTATCATTGGAAAGGGGTGATTTATCTCTGTATTTAAAGAAAGAACCAGATATGACATTATGTATCCATGCACTCTATGGGGGAGGATGTTGTAATTTTCTTCAGGGTGTAGTACTTCAACAGCTCTTCGAGATAATCAGGACCACACTGTGTAGGCATTACAACATTCTGTACACCTACCCAGTGGTGAACAAAACAAGTTTTAAATTTCCTAATTCTCATATTTCCAAGCATTTTGATTTTTTACCCCTTGACCCTTTCATACATGTTGCTTCTCTTTCATGTTAGTAGTGGTGCCATGGTTTGTAAATTCCCTTTGTATTTTGTCACACAGTACAAGCCAAAGTAATTCAAGTCTTAGCTGATAAGACTATGGCAGACTTCGCATCTCTATGACCTGTTAAGCCACGTTAGTGAAATTATAATAGACCAGTAAAAGAAAACCACTGGCACTGAAGATTTTGCTTTAGGGCCATTTTCATATCCTGGTGCAGGAAGAAAGGGCCCTCTTTGAAACATGTAATAATAGCCCTTAACACAGCGCACACATTCATCTCAACCCTCCCACTTATAATTCATCTAGACTTGTATCAGTCTTGATAGGAAAGAATATGAGGGCATTACTTCCACATTATACTGAGTCCACACTACTGATTTAAACGTTTTGCAATGTCATGTTATAAACATTTGAAAGAAAAGAACTGTTTTCAGACATCTACATGTGCATCTGCTCATCTTACCAGAGTTCAGAGAGCTGAGGAGTAACCAAAGGCAACACGCCTGAAGTAAGTAAAGGGGTAACTGTGCTGTAAAAGAATATTTTAAGGTATGTTTCACACACCAGCTGTTGCAGTATCTGAATATATTACCAGAATGATCCCTACATGTTCTGTCTAGGCCATTCTGCCATCTGTTAATAAGTTAAAATGGTACAGCAGCTGCTAAAACACTGCATTTATGTGACAACGTGACAAACAGTACTTTGTTAATAGATGTTTCGGGGGGGGGGTAAAATATATCCCCCCCTGACTTATATATAATATAAGTAAAATATATCATTGTGGCATTTTTGTCTTACTTGGGGTCTCGTGGGCTGTTTGGACGGCTGTTGGTCTGGAGTCTGATTTCTGTTCCCCCAGATGGCCGCTCTGGTCCTGAACCTGGGCTTACCCGCCTGATGAAAAATAAACAAAAATTTTCAACAACGGACAAAAACAATTCTTTTTAAAATCCTATAAGATAAAAAATAAAAAGTAATAAATGATAAGTAATAGTGATAATAAGCCAAAATCACAAAAACAATCATTGTTATATTGTCTCATCTTTCTACTTAAAAATATCTGCACACAGGATGAACTGTGACAATTATATGCAACACAAAGGTTTACACAGCAATGTATACAGTTCCCTCACTGTTGCATTTTTCACTTTTCTCTCCTCCCACCTACACACACGATGCTAATTTACTTCTATCAGTTACCAAAAAGACTACATTTTTCATTCATGATCACTATTTTAAGTATTAACTGCTCTGCTCAACTTCATTGAATTGTTTTTCATTGATTTGTTTTGTGTACAGTCAGGAAGAACTGCCATATTTCATTTTTTTCTTAAATAACTCATGAATGATGGAAATGTTTTTATTTTTGCATGTACTTGTTTATTAACCATATAACTAGTTAAATGAAAGTACATTTTTTGACTCAGTTACGGTGGTAGATGAATTATGAGGGGATTACCAAAGTAATTACAATTATTCCTGAGGGAGGTATGAATCACTGTGCCAAAATTCTGGCTCAAAAGGAAAATTAAGAAGTTGGCTAAAGGCAACACTGTATGTATCCATGAGTTACTTCATTCAAAACCAAGTTGGTAGATCGATCAACTGGAAACCAATCTTCATTGTGAAAAGCTTAAAAGGTAGTAAAAACAGTCAAAAATAAACCATGACTGAAACCACAATTCTAACTAGACCAGGAATATGTAGTATAATATAGTTTGCTCATAACATCAGTATCTTAACCAGTCACTGTCTAATTTTTACTTCTAAAATCCATCTTAATTTTCTGTACATGCTGTGTGTACCTCGGTTCATCAGGGGAAGGTTCCTGTGTAAGGCCATTGGTCTGGGCGGGGCTGTGAGCCGGGCTGTTCTCTGGACTGACTTCTTCTTTAGCGCCATTTGTGGATGGGAGCTCCAGGCAGGCCCTGACGCCCTCCCACTGCTGTGCAGCATTACGGATTGCTAGACGCCGCTTCTCCTTGATGAACAGAACACGCACACAAACATACACAGAACAAAGAAGGTTTCAAGTGTCAAATCTCCTGAGCAGGACAGAGCTAGCATGCTAATAGAACCTCTGTGTGTTTTCATCAGGTCACAGAAAATCATATCCTTCTTGCCTTCCTCATATATACATTTTACTGGGATACATTGTTAAAGAAAGCATATACAATAAAGTACAATAAACTAAGACATTTTACTAAAGCAGATGTAGAACTCAATTTATATTAGATTTGAAATGAGTGATTTCTTAGTCCAATTCATTTGCTTCTTTTGTCACACTACAGCATTATGGTTCAACAGTGTTTGCCTTTTACACCAGTAAAATGTGACATCCCACCCTGCAAGAGAGAAGATTTCTGCCTCTCTGTTCTATTTCAATTACTCTTTTTTGGACAAGCTGGAGTTGCAATATGCTCAGCTAAGGAATGTGCCACTCCTTGAAGCAGGGATGAGTATCAGTTCATGGTAAGTCCGTGGCCTTTGTGAACCCCTGGCTGTGGCATTCACTATAAAATGTTCTCAACACCAGGGATTAAAGAGAGTTAGGTAACTGAGAGACAACGAGTTTCGGCAAAGGGTCTATCTAACAGTTGTAAAGCAGCAGGAGCTTTGGCACACACACACAAACATATTTACCGCAAAACAGATGCATGTGCAAAGCAGAACATCTTAGATCATTTAAAGCTATAAAGTGTAATTTACAGACTTTTTTTACAAACACAGTACCCCTGTGAACTCTGTACAATACTCCAGATTCCATCTAAAAGGGTTTTTGTGTCATACAGAAGAAAAGAGAATGCATTAAAAAAAAAATTCACGTCTATGAAGCATCCAAAATGTGTACAGAGAGCTTCATCTCTGTGAAGCTTCATCAGTCCCAAGACACATAGGTCAGAAGAAATAAATAAACTCATGAATAAAAATCCTTATCATGACCTAAATATTTTAGAGCCTTCTCATTAAATATGTTTTGAAGGGCAGACTGATGTCTGATGAGCTGCTTTTTTTCTCTAAATGCACACTTGAGCCTGAACCCGAATCTCATAATTATGGGTAATTCAGAAGATGAATAAACTACAAATCAGATATCATCACCTATATGTGGCATTTTAAGAATGTTAAAAACCTTACTGCTTATTATTGTCCTTCTACATACTAACTATATAAAGGGTAATTATGAGTTTATTTGCTTCTTAACAGACTGTTGTGTTGCTGTCGTCTACAACGTGCATTTGCATCCTGCCAGCTAAAGATAGCAAGAGTGAATCTTGTCAAACTGTTACCTTATGAATGGTCTGCTTGTGACTCTCCTTCTTCTTTTCCTCCTCTTTTCGAGCCTGTACACCTGCCATGCGCCGATCCTCGTCCTGAAAAAGAAAGCTGGTGCAATCAGAGTGTCGCTCCATTCAAGAGTTCTGAATTATTCAAGAGAGCGGGGAACCACAAAAGACCCTGTCATGACAACTGTCCTCTACACTAGAAATGGACCATTATGGAGGCTGGTAGATAGTCTCACATAAACCGGCTGCATCACGGGATTATCTGTCTGATTTTCAGTCTCAGATAAACTGAGCCCAGCTGTTGGGGAAAGCCAAAACTCCCAGAATGCAATGCAGCCAACACAGTCTGAGAGTGCCAGCAAAGAGCAGGGGGATATTCAGCTGTCTATGGCGAGCTAGTAATGACGCAAAATGATGCTCAAGTCTGATAAAGACAGGCAAAATGCTGTCAGCTGGTAGAGACAGTTAAAAATCCAACCCATATAACAATCCTTAAAATTAATTTTATAATAAAAACAACATATAATATCAAAGTGAAAAAGCTGTTTTAACCTGATGAATAACTTCTTGACTGCAAAGGATGCTATTGTTCAGTGTCAATACATTCTTTGTTTGTGCACTTGCCAAAACAATGAATGTTTGGACAACAGCTCTCGGTTATGAGGCTGTTAAGATTTTCTATAATGTTCCCAGTTAAAATTTGAATGTTAAACATATTCAGGTATTTTTCTGAAACATAATAGTTGACTATTAATGCTCTAGTCTAGCGGATGTGTGTTATTTGAATTTTATTCTCATTTTCCGTTTTTGATTCATAAATAACAGTCTACCCACCAGTCACCCAGGCATGGGCTTTCACAGCATAGAGGTAGTATGCTTCCCTGGAGACATATATTCCAAATCAGTTATAATATGCTTAAAGAAATAGAAACCCCAATGCTAGACAAACATTTCTGTCATTAAGTCAACGCTGTGTGTCTCCCTAAAGTAAACTCTGAAAATGTAACTGACTTGTATCAGGAATTGGCAGCTGAAGTGTGGTGGAGGTGCTTTGATTGGACCACAATAATCCTGAAATTTGATAATCCTGAAACCTCTTAAGATTCAAGTAAAAACATTTTGAAATCTGAGTTACAAGTTTTGTTTTTTGGGGGTTTGGTTTTACTTCATATCAGCACTATGTTTTGAGGGCAAGGTGTGTGGTACTTACAGATTCCTTTAAAGTGCAAGCTCAGACCTGGGTGCTCTATGCCTGACAGCTTCTAAAAGCACACTGACATTTCATGATAGCACATTTCTGGCAAACTGTGCGACAAAAATGATTTCATGTTTTCTGAGAATAATCACTGTTTTGCTACATACACTGTGTGTAAAATATACGTAAAAGTGTAGCTTAGAGTCGTAACTTAGTCACTGAACCACTTTGCTTTTAGCATAAAACAGAGCATAATGAATGCTGCACCACAGTCAGACTTCAGAGTATAGCACTGTAAAGTTGTTCATACAACTTGGTCATACAGAGTGACAGTGAATGGGGTTCAAAATAAATTTGAAGTGTGAAATCATAAAAACGTTTATTTCAAGAATGAGTCGCTCTCAAGAATCAACATGTACGCTGCCTTCAGGAACATCAGAGAGGGACAAAAGGTTTTGACCATTAGCTTAACATGAATGTGTAATGAGAATATGGCATAGGTTTATTAAATATCAACCACAGCAAAGTCATAAGCTGTGAAGGTTTAATCGCTTAAAGGCAGCTCTTTGCTTCTAAAAATATTTGTGAATATTTCTTCCCTATTTTTAATAAGCAAAATATAGCAAAACAAACACTGTAACACAGTGTTCTCTGATTGTAGCTGTGCAATTTGTTGTAAGAAGAAAAGAAAAATATCTGAAAGGACAACAAAATATCTTAACAGTCACAGCTGAACTGGTTAACTGGTGGCTGGTGTTCTGTTTATCACTTTTAAACACACACAATCGCAACACATCAGTCTTACTGTGATGCGCTTCATGTCCAGCTGTCTGAGATGAAGCACACAGCGCAGGACGGCCTGCTTGTACCATGTCTCCAGGGCTACAGGATTCCCATCCAGCGTGAGCTCAGAAAGGGAGCACGACTCTCCGAGGCAGGCTAGCTGGTCAAAACTAGAAACAAAGGATGAATGTTTTAAACACACTCATGAGGGTACTTTTCCAGTACAAAGACTGGCTACGCTAAATGCTTTACGGTCAGTAGCAAATACTGGGAAGTCATGCAAACACTTGAATTCCTGCACTCTGCCTGAGTGCCATTTAACTCAACTTAAGTTAGTCATATCCAAGTTTGATTCTCATATAGCAAAGAACTCTTATCAATTATAATTTGTTGTATTACACATTACAAAAAACATTGCAATCTACTACTACTGATCAGCACCTTAGCTAAGAAGTTAGACAATCCTTACCCTATGTTTTATGTTCTCTGTTACTGGTTGTCGAAATCAGATAGGCCACTGTTCAATGTGGAATATGCTGCTAAAAAGTGCCTGTCTCTGTATGTTTATATGCTTTTATACATCAATCTCTAATTTTCTGGTTCCCTCTCTGGTTCCCTCCCTTTTTTAAATGCATGTGTAAAAAATGAAATTATTATGGCTTTAGCTCTCACAAAATTTCACCAGTATTTTTCCCCAGAGTCAGAACAACATTGGGCAAAAAAGCTTTCAAATATAAGCTACAGATGGACCTGAAATTGTACAGCTGGGAATTTAGGTACTCTTGGTCAATGGACTGCTCTCAAAGCTCTACTGTAATTTATTTGAAATTTGATCTATTTTTTACCTTATTGCATTTAATCTGAATTTGTATGACAACTGTGCATGTGTTTTATACAATGTCCCCTGCCCTCAGGTCACTTTTGAAAAAAATTGGCAATTTTAAATGAGACTTTGAGTAAATTATATTAAAACTATATATAGAAAAATACATTTTGCAGAACCTGAATCATCCACCAGACAATCTCACTATCTTCGTTTTATTCCTGACACATTTTGTCTTGCTTCGTATTGACAGAATGGAGCCGGGCTAACACATGCCATGTTAAGCTGGTAATTCAGCAGGCACTCTGGCAGCCTGACATTACTCAGGGGGCAATGAAGAGAGACAAATCTGCTACACTGTTGATATCACCCTATGGCAAAAGGAAACATGAAAAAGCAAAGTCACGCCATGCATGGCAGGGGATATTCTATCATTGCTAATTTATGATAATAACCTTGATGAATCATTTGCCTGGAACCACTCAAAGTCCTAGTACACTGTGCCTGTTCCTAGCCAGAGGTTTAACTGAATGCTAAACACCATGCTGGAGATACCAGGGGTCTTCCAATCTCAAACACATGCAGTAGCTTAGACCCTTTCTGTTACGGAATATCAATTCCTACCATAAAAATATAAAAGAGACATAAAATAAACATAATAAAGAGGTGCTTGAGTGCATCTAACACATTCTGCCTAATTGGTGTATTCATAATAAGGAATAATAATAACATTAATGATGAAGACCAGAACCTTTACAAAAACAGAACTTCTATTTCTTGCACCATCCACCAGTTTCTGATTGCTACTAATGGTCCAATAAAAAGTGAATATCAAAACTATTTTTAAGATGTGAGTACAGAGTGCGGTGTGAATGAAAACTGTAGCTTCAGGCTTTATCTATACTAGCACTACCCTGCACATATTCTTCAATGACATATTGGTAATTATTAGTTCTGCTTTGATCCTATTTTCATAGGGTGTCTTGTTTTGTTTTTGTTTTGTTTTGTTTTAAAAGGCAATATCAATGTAAGCTCAAATGAATATTTCAGTCTTAATATTATTTCATGAGAGATGTTTGATCCAAGATCCTGAACTGGGTAAACTGACTCCATCAAGGTGATGAGTGTGCTCTGTCTCTTTACCTAGCAACAGAGCACAGCTGTTCTCCTATCAGCACTAAAGAGTTCAAAAAGGTGCACACACGCTAACCAGCCTTCTATACTGCCACAACATGAGTACATTAAAGACGATACATTAAAATACCCTATCATGAAGCAGGATAAATGATACATGTATGTTTCGCATAATCAAAATTTACTTATATTTTTATTCACATATTATATCTGGAACTAGATGTCGCTGTAAAATCAGAAGTTTAATATATAGGATTTTATTCCTTGCGACTATGTCATGATTCTCATAATGTGTGAAGCATGGAGACACAAGAACAGCAAAGCTGGTTTGGACTGTCAGCTCAGATCTATCAGAGCACAAGGTGACTATGGTCAAGGGAGCCAATGATCCCACAGAAATTATCCTCCACTAGGCAAAAATAAAGCAAATGGCCTTATTTAGTGCCAAGATGATGCTGTGTTAAGTTTATTCTATGAGGTTTTTATTGCTGGGCTCAGAAATGAAGAATAAAAGAAAAAGAAGGAGGACAGATACTGGAAAAAAGTGTGTAAAGCTGTTTGACAGTTAGCACTCATCCTACATGCCCTTACCTAGGTATATTTTCCATTAATTCATCCAACCTCCAAATCTGTCATCAATAATTATCTTCTCACAACCTGCTTCTTTGTTGCCCAAATAACTTTAAACATTCTCACACACATTTCTTAGGTAACAGATGATTAAATACTAACAATAAAGAACACATCAAGGATTTGTTATTTTCTAGGTTGCAGAAATTGCCCACTACAGCAAATCTGTGAGTGTGTCTGGCTGTGGGTGTGTATTCTCTGCCCAAAGCCATGGGAGGGGACATGGCACTGTCCGGCCACCATCCCTATTTCTATCCTGCGGGGAGGAGGGAGTTAAGCGGTACAAGCTCTTACCTGGTGATGTTGTTGCAGCTGAGAAAGAGGCGCTGCAACAAGGGCAGGCGGTCCACCTCAGTCTATAAAGAGAAAGAGGGAGAGGGAAGACAGAGAGATGGAGGGATGTGAAGATGAGAAGGTGCTCAGGAAGAGGGCACTGCATCGTCACTGTCGTCAAGGCTCTGTATCCCTCTCCATTCCCTCAGTCACCTTGCAGCTCTCAGCTCCAGCATGCAGCATCCCCATCCACCCTGCGCATGCACACACACATACACACACACATACAGCATGCTGCCTTGTCTGCACATGGAGAGGAGGGGCAACAGAGAGAGAGAGAGAGAGAGAGAGAGAGGAAGAGAGCGAGAATAGATAGAATATGAGGAGGAAAGGGGGGGAGGGGAGGGGAGAGTGGAGAATGTGCTGCGCTAATGCAGAGATCCCCTGCTGCAGGAAGCTAACTTGAAATGCTCAGTGGAAAGCATAGTGATATAAAATGAGCAGCTAACTAAGGTAGTGCACCTCATCATGCAATAGCTGGAGAAAATTCAGTGGAAACTGACAGGGATGTGGAGAGTTTTACCATCAGGCAGGCTCAGCATAAAAAATCGATGCACAATTTACTGAGGGGGTGGGGGAAAAGCAGCAGCTGGGCAGCTGGCACGCTGAATTGGACACACAGGGACAAGTGCAATGTCATAATCACATAAACTATTTGGATGACAGCATGGGGTAAATCACATTCTCTAGTATCAAGGTCTGGGCTTTCTTTATGTGTGTCGCTGGACAATGTTGGCTATACTGGAAGCAAAGAGGACACTCCCATCAGCAGTCTGACTGGGCTGCGTCACTATCCACCCACACTGCAGCCAACGCTTCACAAACCTCCTTCAGTTTCCTGCTAGGCTCTGTTCTATTAGGAGGTTAGACTGGTGTTCAGGTCATGCTAGCACCCCTGCAGAAGAACAGTGCAGGCAGGTTTCGTCATTTAGAAATCCACAAAATTCCCTCCCACACAAGCATATAGATATAACACAGTTATGCAACACTGCGTTATCAACTGCATATAAGACCAACAAGCTGAATACAGTATATTTACTACAGATAGAGTAGTAGGGTATGCAACATCAGCAGCAGTGCTAGAGATACTGATAGCTGTGAAAGATTTCTACAGAAAAAACTGGGGAGGAGGTTTTTCCTGCTGACAATAGGTTTGGGTTAACCTTAGATAGGTCATCAGTCCATCACATGACCAACACAAAACTCACCAGGCCAATGCCAAAGATCATCTGTAGGAGGCTGGAGTACCCAGAGAAAATCCATACAGACACAGTGCTAACAATGGTAACCACTGCATCACTGTGCCGTTCCTCCCCTACAATTATACACATCAAAACTCAGTTAAAAGAAACATTTAATATTTACAACTTGGCTTTTTTAAGCTAGTAACAACCTACACTTAATTTTTAAATTCTGCATGAGATTTTAGCAAGATGTTTTAGCTTGTTTAACACATTAATTTACATTAGTTTACACTATGCCTCCTTATCTAGACTTCTGCGTCATGATAACCAAAAATATTGAATTAGAAATATGTGCATATGTGCATGAAATAGTGGTGAGACAAGGAGTTTGTAAACACTAAATCAGGGTTGTAAACTCATATTTCTAATTGGTACATAAGGTGGGTCCTGTGCGGTATATGTAATAAGTAATAACTTATACTTTAATGACCACGTGGGGAAATTCCTCTCTGCATTTAACCCATTTACTCAGTGGGCAGCCACTGGGCGCCCGGGGAACAGTGTGTAGGGATGGTACCTTGCACAGGGGTACCTCAGGGCAGACATTCAGTGGATTTGAATCCCTGACCTTCCGATCATGGGGCCACTACTCTACCTACTGAGCTATCCCTGCCCCCAACAACTGTACTAAAAACAACATCTAACAACACATACGAGAGCTATTGCTCAAAGGAGATAATTCAATAGAGCTGAGATAGATAGATAGATAGATAGATAGATAGATAGATAGATAGATAGATAGATAGATAGATAGATAGATAGATAGATAGATAGATAGATAGA